TTTTTTTTTTTTTTTTTTTTTTTTTTTCTTGTCTTCGACAGGACTGCAAGCATTTAGCTTTCCTAATAGTCTACTACCGCCCTTGTGTCGACACTCATTATTATTTCTCATGTGCTAATGCTGCAGCGGTCGCACACAGAAGCAGGTGATTGATTATGTGAGGGAATCAGAGTTCAAGAAGATCCCATTTGAAAGGTAGAGTCGAGACACACGCTGGGCATTCCGAGTTCAAGTAAAGACTTTCACGATGTAAAACACTGACCTACATCATCCCATCTGCCAGGAAACACAGCCGGGTCCGATACAGCAGTCGAGTTCAACACAACAGTCGCCTGTCGCCGCTGCCTTCTCCTCGCCACCATGAAGTGCCATCAGAAGTCAGTCTTTCTATGCATAAGAAATGTACTCAGAAGATTATTTGTTGCTTTATATAGATATGCCTGTGTTATTCCTCTTTAGTTATTCATGAACTTTGTCTATGAACTTATAAACTTACCTTTTTGCTTGGTTTGAAGTAAATATTAACCAAAAGCCCCAGTGATCCATAGTTGGGTTGGATGAATTCATTGTTCTCTGCCTGACTGTCTGTTGTTTAACATAAATAAATAGAAGTGGAAGCTGCTGAATACTATTTTGCAACACTTTTCACACACTTTTCTTTTTCCACATTTTGTCATGTTTTTGTCAACCAAAAGCTTCTGTAAATTTCAAAGGGGTTTTATGTGATGGTTCAACACAAAGCAGTGCATAACTGTGAAGCTGAATGAAACGGTGCATCATTTTAGGAATATTAAATGAATAAAAAGGGAGGCTTCCCCATTTTCCTCTAATACGCCCAAGTCAAATCCAGTTGCACCCTGAATCCGCCGATACATAATCTAATGTTATTATGAAATAGTGTTAAAATACTGAAATTCCAGCTCAATACTGAGATAACTATGCAATATTTAAGGTGATTGTTGATAGATAATGAAAACAATGACAATGGTTTTATTACATTCTGATTAAAGATGGAACCTATCTAACAATGTAAACATAGTTATTTTATCTTTATACATTTTGTTTCCATTAAATTATAGAAAAATTATCAGCCATTTAGAAAACAATAAAAAAGATTGATTCGTGTTGAAAAATGGAAAATAAAGTAAGCAGTTATGTTTTTCCTCCTTGGCGTGATTTCTGTGAAACTTTTACTTTGTAATTATCAAACTGGTAGGTTGCCGTGGTTTCAGTTTAGTTTTTGTTTTTGTTTTTTGCCAGTTTTTGTCAGAATCAGTCGGGGTAAACAGAATCAGGACCCTGTCTGTTTTGTTTCATCTTGACACATCTTTTCTTCAAATACAATTGTTAGCTTGCTAAATTAACATTGTTTATTAACATCAAAATGTGGAAGATGTTTGACTTTTTTTCCCAAATACTCAATCTTACACATTTATCTAGCCCCTCAGTGCAGTTCTACTGAACAGAAAAGCAGTGGTGCAACTGGTACTTTAATAATTTAGCATAACATCTGCTCTGCACCATGTTCAAACTTTCGCTGTTGTGGAAGTAGAAGTGTTATTGACATTTTTAAATGCCACATAAACATCTGAGTGTTCAGGTCGGCTTTGCGGACACGTGCCTGTTGCACAGCTTACATACCGACTTATCGACATCTTTTCCTCTTCATCTGTTGCACAAGAAAAATACCGCCTTACGATAACTTTACTTTCATCTTTTTTAACAAAGAAGGTAGCTAAGGCTCTTATGGGTGCACTCACTATATCAAGGCAGTTTTTCCTTGACTCTGAAGGGAACAGAGAGTTGAGTGTCTGTGAGTCTGCTGTGGAAAATTGTGCATTAGTTTGGGGAAATGGGAACAACTCAGTAAATGTCAACAAACTAATTATCTTTGATATTGCTTTTTGTATGAAACTCCAGTTGACAATCTGCCAAGACTCAAAAAAGTGACAGTTTGCACCACTTTGTGCTGGTCTATGACATTAAACCATAATCGCACCAGTCTGCTTGTTACCATAAATGTTCACTGGTCGTGTTTATTTTTGCGTCTTTATTTCCTCTCAATATCATAACATATCATTGTGACTAATGCTAAATTAGCAACAGCAATTTTTTATTTGATCACTTAAATGTACATGCAATGTATTTAGTCATGCAATTGAACTAACAGGATATTTTCAGGCAAGGAAGAATTGGACTTAAAATCCCCAGTTGTTATTAATGACATAATTTCTGAAACTCTTTTCTTTTTTTCCAACTCTCTCAGAGTGGTGTTCCCGAGGACTTGTCCTCTTCTTCTCCTCCTCGGCGTCACTGGAAGGAGTCGGTGCTCGTCAGTGCCGAAGACCCAGCGGCTTCACGGACTTCAAAGATGAGCCCGAACCATCAAAGAAACGGCCACGAAGACAGAAAGGAGTCCGTTTCCAAGCCTGAGGAATCAAGAGGGTCTACACAACAGATGTCCCCAGAACATCCGAGCCAAGGTCCAGCATCTTGGTTTGCCAAAGGCAGCAGCTCAGCCACGAGTTGTGTAGATAGTGAGTTGAACATGGGAAGGGAGCAGGCCAGCAGAACAAATCAAGGTTATGGTGAGGACTTCAATTTGCGTCGGGGTTCAGGTTCCCAGCAGGAGCATTTACTGGGCAAGACGCAGTACAGGGAATCTCCTTTGCTCAACATGAACCATGAGCCATATCGGTCTCTCACGCAGTCACGTCCAAAGTTTGACCTTAGTCCTGGTTACAGCACAGTGGGGGAAATCAGAGGCCATAACAGAGAGAGGCAGAGCAGCAGCCCCCTCCCAGGTCAACATATGATTGGCTCAAGGAGTGTTGTCTCCAATCCTGCCAATAAACCCACCCACCAAGCTCCTTCTCTCTCTCACGCTGAGCAGAATGGCTACACGTCCCTCCTGTTTAATGACACAAGATGCTCCCCCCACCCGAGCCGATCGCCTCGCTTACACAATCTCCAAAAAGTACATCACGCCCCGTGTGCAGACCCGCATCAGGGTGCGTCCCCACCAGGGCCAGATTCACGCCCGGTCATGTCTCGGGCCGAGCGCATGGCAGCTCTCGAGCGGCGCATGACGGCCAACGGCCTCACGGCCCCGGGGAGGTTCCGGGCCGGAAAGAAACGGTTAGGACAGGTCGGAGTCAAACACGTGGAGGCCGTGCAAATGTGTGAGGGCTCCACCACCAGTGGGTCAGAGTCAAGCGAGTCTGAGGGAGAGGACAGAGGGAACTGCAGCAACAGTACGGTGGAGGCTAGCGCTCCTATACCGAGAAACAAATTCTCCTTTGGGAGCCTCCAGCTGGACGAGGAGGCAGAGGATGAGGATGGATGCCATAATTTTAGTGATGAGGAAGGTGAACAGATTTTCAACTGTTGACACATTAACAAGCCAGAGAAGGGAGTCTGAAGCTTGTCTCTGGGAATCCTTGTTGTGTAGGAAAGTTTTCTTCTGCATTTCAGAGATTCACTTGTTTCTGAATTATTTTAGGATACCAAAACAGACACTCACAGCTGCCTTGTTAGGTAGCCACACTGAGTAGTTACCTATTGAGCACCGCAGAAAATGTGGTCCTGATTATATCAAAGTGAAAGGCATATAAATGGCGAAAATGTTGACTTTTAAGAAAGTTGCAAAAAAACTGCCTTTTTAGTGCCTTTAAACCTCTGTCAGTAAGATATGTGTCTATTATTGTCTATAATCACATGGAATGTCTCCTTACGGTTTTCCATCAAGCACTGGCTATCGTGGCTTTTTTTTAGTGCCTTGCAAAAGGATTCATAACCGTTGAACTTTTTCACATTAATGTCAAAATCTTCTGAGATTTAATGCTGTGAACCAACATAAAGTAGTACAAAACTGTGAAGTGGAAGCCAAACAATGCAGAGTTCTCAATATTCTTTCACAGATACTATCTGAAAAAAGATACACATGCATTTGTATTCAGCCCCCACGTCCTCTGATACGCCTAGATAAAATCTAGTCCAACTAACTGCCTGTCAAAGTCACAAATTGATAAATGAATTGGTTCAATAAGAATAAATGTGAAAAGTATGGCAGATGTCTGTCTTCAAATTTGATGCAACCTCACGAGTCAACTAAATCCTAAATATTCTCTTTTTATTTGTAAAAATATTGGGAACCAGATGTCCTTTTCCTTCCGCTTCTAATTTACGTGCAGCTTTTTGTTGGTCCATCTAAAATTCAAATAAAATTAAGTTGGTGGTGTTGTCATTGCAAAATATACAGATTTAATAGGTTTAAACACTTTCGCAAGGCACTGTATTGCTCTGTTTTTAGGACTTAAAATTCCCTCTGGTACGTCATCAGTTAAGACTGAATTGGCATTTATCTGTAGCTATCTAACAGGTCATCTTTCTGTCTCGGGTGCAGAATTCAATGACATCCTGCAAAAAATATCTACAGTTGATCTGTATTCAGCATTTGTTTGCAGAGTCAGTTGTTCCTTACCAATCTGGTACCAATAGTTTGAGTCCTGTCTTGTTTTGAAATGTCAGCACTATGCTAAACATACCTCATAGCAACAAGTAAAATAGATGTAATGTGCATGTGACGAGCAGCTTCTTGATCAGGTTTTGGTGAATGTAAATGTGTGCTGTAAGATAATTTCTCATTGTCTTGCATGTTTATTATAATTTTCTTTTTTTTTTTTGCAATAGTCTAAGTAGAGTTTGCAAAAATGGCACTGCACTTTTTTGCACTTGTGTCTTTTTTCTCGTGGTTTTTAATTTGCAATAATCTCCATGTTACGCATGTGTTGTTTTCCCTTTTTTGTGTCCACTGTTCACTGTCTGCATGAAGCTTTTTCTTTTTTCCTCTTCTGTGCATTTCTCTGCTGTGTGGAGGGGGAAGCACGGTTTTCATTCTGTGGGTTCCCTTTTCTGCAGTGACCTGATCACCTGACTCACCATTAGATTATTTTAAAGCAGGGAAACAAGAGCTTGGCAGTGTCTGTGTTTGTGTGAAAGACACTTTAAGGGCAACATTACCTCAAAGTATAAAGCCTCTGGGTTCATCCATCATAGCAGGCTGCTTTTAGTGGTGCTCCTTGATATTTTTAGCTCTGGCATAGACACAGATGGTGATTTTATGAGGTACACAAGTATGCAAAGTAGTGCGTAATGAAATGGAAGGAAAAGGGAGACATGGTTTTACATTTTCTTTACAAAAGAAAATCAAGAATCAGTTGCTCTTACTCCGACACCCTCAATCGAATACTGTCATTTTCCTTCCACTTCACAACTATGCACACAATCAGTTGACTACGTGTTAGTCTGTTACATAAAATCCATTGACATATGTTAAGGTTTGTGGTTTTAACTTGACACAATCTGGGAAATATCAAGGGATATTAAAACCTTTGCAAAGCGCTGCAGGCTTGATTCGATTAGCTTCCTGCTTTTATACCCGTAACTGATGCAGCATGAGTAAACAACCAGATCACTGCAGAACCAGGGACATTATGAGGAACACTAACCCATGTAACATTCATCTTTGCATGTCCCAGCTGTACGGGAAAGACTCTGTTTGTTTGTGTGCGTGTGTGTTTGTGTGTGTTTCCAACCACTGGTGTCCTTCAGGGTGTGTTCAAAGTCCAGGTCGGTGGCTTGATGCACATAATCCTGTTCTGTCCTACCTGCATGTCCTCTGCTGTATGTACTGTAATATACATGTTGCTCTATCTTTCACTCTGCTGTAATTTATTTGTTCATTTCCTGTGTGTGCAGCGTGTGATCGGAGAATGTGGCTGTAAATCTAGGCTATTAAAAGCAACCTAATAAACAATATATAAAGCATTTTTACGGCTCTCTGTCACATGGTGAAATTAGTCTTTAAACTGATTTCCATCTGCTTGTCTCTGTAATGTTTTCAGCTGCGGCTGTGAATATATTACCCAAAGCCGACAGAAATCAGATCAAGATCAGTTTGTATTTATATGAAATACAAACTGAAATATTTATTTATTTATTTATTTATTTATTTATTTATTTATTTATTTATTTATTTATTTATTTTTGACAGATTTTTCATATTCTTTTCTGGTGCTTGATTGCCGTTGGTGTTTGTTTTTCGTAAAGTCTGGTGTCAGTAGTAGATATTAGATCCTTTTCATCCTCTAGTTTTTGCGAAATTGTTATTTCACACTCGTCTGTAGCATCGGTGCAGATGTTGTTTGTGTGAGTCATATTATCGAGGTGGTAGTTCTTAAACTAGTTTGCGTTCTGTTTTACCCCTGCTGATGATGACACAGAGAGAGACAGAGAGGGAGTTGGGCGTGTTGCAGCCACAACATAGTAAGTAAGCTGAGTGAACGTTGTCGGAGCAGATGACAGTAGTTAAGTGGTTCTTCTCGATCAGCCTGCTGTTTGTGTCAGCTTGTCCCTTTATTGACGTGGCGTAAAACGGCTGTCGTGAATTCAAAGTGAGTCATGACTGATTTTTTTCTTTTTTTTATTTCTTTGCTCTCGCTAAACAAAACCCCCCTTACCAGTTCTACCTCACTGCATTTTATGATTTAGCATCAGTGGATTGTTAAATAGCTTGGATTTCATTAGCACTCCGTCATCTGATTTGGTTTAAATGTTATCCTCAAATGGTAAAAAAAAATCCACAAAAATGTCCAATTCGATTATCTTCCTGCAATGTGGCAAATTGCACCCGTCTGTGCTAAAATGATTTAAATAGAGAATATTTTCCTCAGCTCAATTATGTCCCTGTCTTTCTAAATTAACACAAACTGACATTTTCCTTCCTCCCTCTGGATTTTTTTTTTTTTCTTCTGTGGCTTCACGACAGGTGTGGCTCCCCACAGCCCTCCGCCGTCCGGACATCCCCACGGGATGGTGAACGGTCAGAAGTCCCTGGAGTTGTGCAGCCACAGTCTCGACGGCCGTCAGCCTTCGCCTCTGACCAGCCCGCTACTCAACGACGCCTGCAGCATTCGCACTGATGATGAAGATGAGGTCCGGAGAAAGGTTTGTAAACTAAGCTCCCAAACATTTAAATCAGTGTCCCTGAAAAAAAAGAAAAAGAAAAAAGCATTCCAACCACCTGACGCTTTGCCATTGGGATGGTGTTTTCAGGGTGTTTGGCAGTGTGACCACTTTTGGTTTTTCATGTCAATAGTCTTCCACCTAAGTTGTGGACCTCTGCAGCTCCTCCAGAGTCACTGTGAGCCTCTCAGCTCCTCCTCTAATGAATGCTGTTAAAACCCATGTCTTGCTAGGTTTGCGGCCACGGTGCGCTCTTGCCACTTTGGTTGAACAGTTCTTCATGAAATGTTCAAAACTAAATAATATGTTTCACAACTCACCTCTGTTTACAACTTCTTTGCATATTTAACTCTGACCTTTACAGTTACATATTGGACTTGGAGGCATCAGAGTAAAAAAGGCTGAATTTAAAATTAAAACATTTGTTTATAGATTTTTATTTAAAACAAGTGTAAGACCCGTGCATTATTTCTTCTCATGTCATAATCGGGCTCTGGTTTGTGTTGGTCAATTGCATAAAATCAGAATTAAACGCATGGAAGTCTGTGCTTATAACCCAAATCACAAGGTACTAAATATTCTGATGAATGTAACTAAAACCAGGTGCTGCTACCTTTTCAGTATCTTCTCTTATGCTTGCTATCCAGAGGTTTCCCACTGATCGAGCCTATTTCATCGCCAAAGAGCTGCTGACCACAGAGAGGACATATCTAAAGGACCTGGAGGTGGTGACTGTGGTAAGATGGCCACACGTCGGCATGCCTCTCTGCTGCTTGGTCTCCCCCATACGCTCGTCTGCTCGGGGAGAAGCACTCTCATTGTTCTGGTTTAGCAGCTTCGTTGCAACACGACCGCCAAATCACAGAGATGGGCAGCGACACACAAACACTTTGGCAGAAGCGATTTCATTTTTTATTCATTCCCCACTCCCGAGCTCCGAAATGCATTTATCCATGTCACACGAGGTGGTGAATACTAAACTGTGTTTGTGTTTAAAGAGGATGTTGGATTTAGCGGCGTGTTCCCTCTGTGCGCGCCTCGCTGATTTATTCGATTCTCTCGGATTTTATTGGCTGGATGCAAGCGCGCACACCCGGCTTCGTTTGATACCGTCTCAAAGTAAACCTGGCAGATAAACAGGATATTAAACGTGTGTATTGCTTCTTCATCTGTAATTGAGGATGGTCTTTTGTTGCCTGATTTATCACATGAGGAAAATGGTGGCTTTTCTCATTTTAGAGACTTTACTATTTAGCTTGAATTCTTTTTGTCATTTAACTGTATATGTTCATGTGTTTGCATGCTGTTATCTCCTTCCCACATGCTGTTTGGTGTTGCTTCGGTGTTGAGGGTGAAGTCATCTGAATAACAGCTGGAGCTTTGTCTTCAGCCCTTATAAAGAAACACTTACTTTTCCAACAGCCCATTTCCCTTTCCCATTAGAGCTTCTGAATGAAGCTGCTCTCAGTCCCGTTCTGCTACACAAAACATGCTTCTTTTACCACCAACCTGTCCTAATGAAACAACTGAGTAAGAATGATTATTGATCCTTCTTTTCAACCTCAGTCAAGTGAAGGATTTAGAAGTTGTCACAAAGCTTAAAGTTCATCAACAGGAACACAGATAAAGGGGATTCCGGAAGCAAGTTTCTGTCATCGTTCTAAGCAAGTTTCTGTCATCTAACTTTATTTGTAGAGCACTTGTGATTCAGTCAAGTTGCAGAAGTGAAAATCAGGAGGGTGGATAAAAAAGCACTACAGAAATATATTAGATAAATTATTAGCTGAAGTAATTAAACAGAATAAACAAATGATTATATTGGTGATAGAGAATGAGGCTGTGTGGAAACTTAATCAGATTAGTGAGGAAAGGCTGGAGATATACATGCATGCTTTTACGCGTAGCAAAAGTTTGACTTGCTACCCTGATTGAGCCAATAGAGCATGATAACACTAGAATGCTGACGGTAAAGTAAACGTATTAAAATTAACATTAGTATGGTAATACATAAAGGTTGGTATTAACAGTTTGCAGAGGCCCAACTAGAGTCCCCACTTGAATCTGATAGTGGGGAGTCAACCTCTGTGATGAAATACCTGAGGCTCAGTTATTCAAGATACAGTTCATCTAAATAATGAGACTGTAAAATCTGTTCCCATGTGCTAATCTGCTTTGCAATATGTGTTTTCCAGTCTTTCCAGAGTGTTGTGGGACAAGACGAGGAGACCCCTGACTCCCTGAAGAACACCATCCTCTCCACCTTTGAGCCGCTTCACAAGTTTCACACTGGTTTCCTCAGGGAGGTGGAGCAGAGGCTGGCTATTTGGTGAGCCCCATTTCACTTTTAAACTACACCCAAGATCTTATTTGAAGGCTTTCAGAATGCAGTTTGGATTTGGTCCAATTTATCAGAATTTGTTTCTATTTTTTTATTTTTTTTTTGAAAAGGTAGCAACCCAAGCAGCTACCATCTCCATTGCTCCAAAAATACTGGCCTGTGCTTTCCTGTGGGTTTGTGCTGTCTGATGTGCTCTAATGATGCAGTGCTTTATTGGGCACACACACACACACACACACACACACACACACAAAACCCCACATGGAGACTGTGAAGCATAAACACAGTCAAGCTGTTACAATTTGCAGGCGTTTACTGGTGATGGTCAGATGCTAGAACTTCACATGGAAGCTTAAAGTGATAGCGCACTTTACTCCACTGATAAGAACTACAGTCAGACGTGAATGCAAATCTCCTTGGCCTACATAATGTCTTTTGCTCTTGGCTTTGCCTATTCAAATATAAAGGTGAAACTGTTGTGAATGTCATAGGGAATTTGTCTGGTATAGATGAAGCAGGATGTCTTTTAAACACAATTATATTTAGTAAAAATAATGAATAACCTTACTGAGTACAGTATTTAGATCACTAATAGCGCACAATCCTGTGTGGGTGATTTCATGCTCAAGGGAGACACCTGCTGGTGGAACACCAAATTTTCTTGGTTTTCCCTTTTGTAGCTGTACTGGGAATCATATTCGAATAAATCGAGTTAAAATCTACAATTTTTTTGTGGTACAGTTGATTAATGTTCTGCTACCTGCCCACATTAATATTAATAACATGTATTGATGTATATTGGAGGTGAAGTTAACTTAATAAAATATATGTTAAATGGCACTTTTTTTATATTTCACATTTAGAGCCACAAATTAAACATTTTCTGCGTATTTGATGTCATAGATCAAGAAAAAGTACTGAATTCTTTTGATGTGAAGAGTAAATGGCAGACGATTTTACCAAGAAACACAAAAGGCAGGTTAGAAGGGTCAAATTAAAGAGTCAACTTTGTTGTGGATCATTTAAGAAACAGAAAACACGGAGAAGAAGATATTTTGGTCAGATAAGATTGAAATCGATCTTTTAAGTTTGCATGCAAAACGCTACATGTGCTAATATCTAATCCGGCACATTAGATATTAGCATGAACATGCCATCTCTGTACTGAAACATGGTGACGGCAGAATCATCCTCTGGGAATGCTTTTGTTCGTCAGTAACATGGCAGCTAGTCAGAGTTGACAGGAAGGCAAAGAATCCTTGAAGAGGCAAAAGACTTCAGGCTGCGGTTGAGGTCTACCTTCCAGCAGGACCTGCAACAAACATTTAAATAGACTCAGGGGAGTTGGATAAAAATACATGTCACACTTGTCAAACTTTTATTTGTTAAATTTGAAAACCATACATCTTTTTTTCCCCCCCCCTGTTTTGAAATTTGTGGTTGCGACATGCCAAAAAATGTCAAAGTGCTCAATCTGTACATCAAAGGAAAAGTTAGTTACAAAAGATAGAAAAAAATAAATAAATAAATCAATGAAATATTTGTTCTTTAGCTTTAAATCTTGCATGAGGTTCTTGTGTTTTCGTAAAACTGCAAAACTATTTCATGCACTGTTGCGCAGGGAAGGACGTTCCAATGCACACATTAAAGGAGACTGCCAGCGCATTGGAGATGTGATGCTGAAAAACCTTCAAGCTTTGAAGGTGACTCCTGACCTCAGGTTAACGTCGTTGCTTTTGGAAAGCAGCAGTGTTATCATCCTCATGTATCACACTTCATGCTTTGCAGCCTCTGACAACAAACATGCACAAGCACTCTGACATCCTCCTCGAGCTGGAGAAGGCGTGCAAAGCGTCCCGTAGGGTGGAAAATTTATGCAGAGACTTCGAGCTGCAAAAAGTGTGCTACATCCCCCTGAATGTCTTCGTCCTGCGACCTCTCCACCGCCTCATCCACTACAAGCAGATCCTGGAGCGCCTGTGCAAACACTACCCAGCAACTCATGAGGACTTCAGGGACTGCAGAGGTGACCAGAGCTTTCAGAGACTCATTCAGCATTTTTTTTTTTTTTTTTTTCCTGGTTTAATCTAGCAGCCACGTGATATGCGTGGTTGTTCTCCAGCTGCTCTGGCAGATGTTTCTGAGGTGGTGGACCAGCTCCAGGGGAGTCTAATCAAGATGGAGAACCTCCAGACGCTGCTGGAGCTACAGAAGGATTTGCTCGGTGTTGACAATCTTGTGGTTTCTGGTCGAGTAAGTCTGAATTATAACTGGAAAATTATTTGCCCAGCTTTTAAGACATGCACACACCTAGTATTTCATTATTATTATTATTGTTATTATTATTATTATTATTATTATTATTATTATTTTTGTCTTTTTCAGGAGTTCATCAGGTTAGGCTGCCTTAGCAAACTGTCCGGAAAAGGCCTTCAGCAGCGAATGTTTTTTCTGGTAACGTTCATCTTTCTTCAGCTCCTAACACTAATCCAATTATTTAGCTGAGTGATCTCAGCAGAATGAAACGGCGCTTTCATCTGTTCCTGCTTTGCGTTATCCAGGTGGGGTTTGGCAGCTTCGGCGCCACAAACACGCAACACATGTCCAGTTCAACGCCTTAAAAACATGCGCAGATTATTTATATAATACTCTAATGGTTTTTATTTCTCTCTCTGTCCCGCTCTCTTGTTTCCTTGGCGGCAGTTTAATGACGTCATTTTGTACACGAGTCGAGGGATGACACCGACCAATCAGTTCAAAGTGCACGGGCAGCTGCCTCTCCGTGGCATGACAGTAAGTGCTGACTGGCTGTCACCAGGTTGTCATTACTACAAGAGGAGCTGCGCCCGTTTCCCTCTGAAAATACACACACTGTCAGGACAACCAGAACGTACATTTCCTTTTCATCCTCTCTCCTTGCTCCTCTCCCACTCTGTCTATTTTTGTTGCCTGCTGTCCCAGATTTTTGGAGCTCTTTAATGTCTTGTTCTGCTTTCTTTGTGTTCCTCCAGATCAGAGAGAGCGAGGAGGAGTGGGGTGTGCCTCACGCCTTCACCCTGGTTGGACAGGGACAGTCGGTGGTGGTAGCAGCAAGGTAAATAAGAAAGTAGCTACCCTGTTCTTTAAATTTATTAAACTAGTTGCGCAAGTGATAGGAATAGTAAAACAATAGCATCGGGGGAATGTGGAAAATGGGTTGAGCTGATTCAAAACAGCAGATCTTTCACCTATGGTCATGAGAAAATAAATAAATAAAAACAAAGATCCTGGATACAAGCAGCTAAAATTGAGCTTCCTCCATAGAGGTGCTTAGCTCACCCATCAAGGGTAAGAAGCTCTATGGACTGGAGTTTGGAGAACAGCCACAGCCACTTTGTACCAAAAGGAGTGCAGATAAGGGAGCACTGGCATGTAATCAGGATGCCTTCTCTTGGACACGTTCCACTGGGAATGTAGTCCTGAACATCCCCAGAACTTCCTGGAGGGATTATTTATCCTGTCTGGATTCGTAACAAATTACGATCCCGAAGGAACGAGCAGTGAGGTGCTACCAGGGAGAAGGATGTCTGTGTTTGCCTCCTTCGTAAATCCTGCATGTGCTAAGGGTTTACAAATTGTTTCATAACTGATTATTGTGCTATGTTTTCATTATGCGAAGCACTTTGAACTGCCTTGTTGCTGAAATGTGCTCTTAAAATAAACTGTAACATAATTTTCACTTTATTTGTTTTGTGTGTTTCTTCAGCCTCTCTGAAGCCAGATTTATATTTCTGGTATAAATCTGTGCTGTAATTACACATATTTCACGCAGATCAAAAATTTCATTTCAGCGTCCATTTAGTCGTTTTCATCAGAAGATAAATCCAAATGTAAACCCAGCTGCATTCACGTGTGCCCACTTCTCTTTCACGTTATCTATTTTAACAGCTCATTTATTTGCCGTCTTACATTAGTTTGAGCTTCTCAACACCTCCTTCAGCAGCCATCTTGTCTAATCTGCTGGCTGGTGAAAGGTACATATCAGTTTATTTAAAACCATTTTTACTTCAATGACTTGATTGGATCTATCCAGTTTCCATCCTGTGCTGGTGTCACAGTGGGGCAGAGTTTAAAGTGAATATTTCCCAGAAAGGCTGAATGAAGAACACACGTCGTTCCTGTGCTGCTGCTGTTAGCAGAACTGTTTGTAACCTCGAGGCAGAGTGACATGTTCCTGCTTTCCCTCCATTTGTTACCTAGTTCACTGACAGAGATGGAGAAGTGGATGCAGGACATCAAGATGGCGATAGAGACGGCAAAGACCAGCAACGGTCCCACGTCGGACGTGCTGACCTGCACGCTGACTGATAACAGTAAGTTGGAGGATGAACAAAGAAAACGTATTGAACTATTACGATATTTGTGCTCGGACATTGACATTTGTGAACGTTTTGCTGTGAGAAAGAAACGGTAAGTGAGCAGAACAGCTGAGACCCTGGGTCCACGTTGATTTCAGGATGATCTGACGCTGTCTGTGTTTAAGCTCCTCTCTCCCCTCACCAACCCTCCCGCTCCTTGTCCAGCTCTAACCACCTCCCGACTTTCCCAGAATGCCCGGAGGACTCCTCGGCGGAGGCAGAGTCCGAGGACGACACGTCAGCTTTAAATACGTCGCTGGAGAAGCCCGCAGCTCACCGTGGCAATACCATGGTGCACGTGTGCTGGCACAGGAGCACCAGTGTGTCCATGGTGGACTTTAGCGTAGCTGTGGAGGTATCGGCCAAAGCTCAGACTTGCCCTTCCTCCTTTTCCTCCTCCTCCTCCTCTTCCTGCTGTCCTGCTGTTTTCTTCCTCTGTTTCCCAGTCTGTGCTGTATATCTGGATTGACTTTGGTCTCTTACTTGGAACAGTGTCCTTCTGTGCTCCTCTGGAATTAACCTGTTTCCTTGGATTAAACAATTAGCTATCAAGAACCAACAGGAAATTTCACTTCAGTAATTTTTTTGAAAACAAAAAATTATTTTGTAGAAAAGAAAAATGGTGGGAAGTTCAACGTAGAACGTCAGCAACTTTAAAAACACACAAACAAATTACCCTTTTTTTATATATATATATATTTTATGATTTATATTTTTTAATTAAAATATGACACACTGTACCTTACTGAACAAACATTTTCACATTTGGTTACAATCAAAAACCCAACTGTCTTGTTTTGTGATTTTAATTAATATACCAACACAAAGTGCAGCATAGTTTTGAGATGGAAAGGAAATGGATCTATGTTTTCAATTTCAAGATACTGGTGTTTGTTTTTTGTTTGTTTCAATTTACTTTCAATTTACTTTTACAGAAACTCTCTATCCAATTTGACTGACATACTTTTATCAGTCAGATTGGATAAAGAGCTTCTGTAAAAGTGCCTTTCAAGTCTCGCCAAAGATTCCCAAATGGATTTGGGTTCTCGGTCTGAACTTCTCCATTGCAGCTCTGGTTGCACGTTTTGTGTTGTTCCTGCTGCTGAAAGTGGAACGTCTACACCAGTTTGAATTTTTTGCAGGCTCTAGCAGGTTTTCTTCCGTTATTTCCCTGTGTTTAGATTCCCTCTCCCAGAATAAGAAAACCACCCCCACAGCATTCTTCTGCCACCACCGAGGTGGTGTGCTCAAGGTGATCTGCTGGATTAGTTTTCCACCACACAAAACCTTTTGGATGGAGGCCAAAAAACTTCAAGTGGACAGACATGCCTTAGTACCTTTTCAGGTGTGTCACAGTATTTCTATTTTTGGATTTAAAAAAAAAAAAATAGAAATACTATTTGGGAGTATCAGAGTGGTGGGTTTTTGAATTTAAATACACCCCACACTTTCCAGATATTTATTTAAAAAACAACAACAACAACAACAAAAAAACGATTTTTCCTTTTCCTTCCCTTCACCATTATGCTCTTTGTGTTGGTGCATCACAGAAGTGACAAAAGTCAGAGGCATACATACTCCCATATAAGAACCAATTTTGAAATATTTTAAGGAAAACAATTGTTTTCACTTTATGGATTTTAAACATTTTCTCTTTGTGTACTCACCAAAACAACTGCAGACGGCAAATTTTCCACATTTAAAAAAAAAAATATATATATATTTACAACCCAGTTATCTGAAATATTCTCTCTGGTGAAAAATTTGCATTTAGTCTTAACACGCTAAGAGTTGCTTAGGTATTTTTAAATGACTTTAATGTCGATCTTCATGTACAGTCAGCAAGGTTGCCGTTTGAACTTTTCCCTCATGTAGCAAAGAGCACTCAGCGTGATGTCCAGATCTAAACTCGGAGCTGCTGCTCTACTTGCTTTCTTGCTGCTTCTTGAACATAATATCTCTGAGTGTCTCTAACTGAAAGCATTATGTTGGTTTGTTGAATGTTCTTGTCCTACATTAACAGAAAGGATCTTGATTTGTGAGGTAGCGTCCTGCACCAGTTCTGCTCTCCCTCTGTCGTCGTAACAATGTCCTCTTCACAGCTTTGCCTGGACACACTGTCTGCCTTGGTGTTAACCCCTGCCACTGCATGCTTATGTGTAACCTACTCAGTTTCTGTGTTTCTGTCCCTCCCGCCCTCTCTGTCTGTTTCTCTCTCTCACATCTGTGCATTCCTCCGTGATAGAGGAGCCTAGTCCAGTCAGGGACAAACAGGCCCCGAATGGCCAGGGACCAGTGCCTCTGTCTGTTATCTGCTGGTACCGAGTTCAGAGCCTCTCCTTTAGCGAATCCTGCAGGAGTCTAGAGGTAAAAGAGCCAGGCAGACAGGAAAGGCACCTGTTTGTGTGCTTGAGGTGCCGACAGAATGTTTTTCCAAGTTTTACACATTTGCTTTTCTTTCAGAATCATCACAGAGTTGAGTCAATCTGGTTTTTTTTTGTTTTTTTTCTCCAACCCTAAAAAGACAGATCAGGCGTTGAAGTGTGACATGGGGGAATAACAGATTTAAGAGTGGAAAATATTACATGTCAGGACGAATATGGGGAGTGTTCACCTGTATTCAGATGAATACATTAGATAAGGTTTTTATCTTAAACTTAAAAGATTCAAACAATTTCAGATGCATTTCTAATGATTATTTTATTTATTAAGGAAAACAGCTGTCTGTAATATGAAAAACGAATAGCTTGTTTGACTAATGAATTGAACTGATTAAAAAATATTGAAGTTAGTTAAAATATCTCATACCCTGACCCAGTCTAAAGAAAACAAGCACTCAATAGACTTATGTAGAAAATGTCTTTTCTTTTTCCAACTTCAGTTCTTGTTTTCTACCAGCCATGTCACGTCTAATAAAATATAGTAGAGATCCAGTTTATTTCTAACAAGACATGCAGTTGTTAGGCTCTTTTAACTATGAAACACTTCCCAAAAAGACTTCTATTTCTGTGCCTCAATTATTTTCCAAAACAAAAAATTTAAAATGTCTTTATTCCTTTCAAGAAAAGTAGGAGTTTGACTAAACAAGTAGGTTATTTATGTAGCAAATAAGATCAAATCTAAAAGGGGTGATTTACAGAACCATGACATTTTTATCTAGGTAGTTTACAGTGTATCTTGAAAGTAACCAGAGCTTACCCTTTGTTCTACATTTTGTTTTGTTACAGCCTTATTATTAAAATAGTTCAATTATTTAAATTAAGACCAAATGCACTGTAAAAATCTGCTATGGAAAAGAGAAAGAAATAAGAAGCTACCTTATGTGTTAGGACAGTTTTGATTTTTATTTGGTTTTGGCAGAAAAGATTGAGAAAGGATTACATAGAATATGAGGAAACAGCACTATTTAACCAACAGCAGGTTTATTGCTTTGTACACATGTTTAGAATTAGCTTAAATGTGACTTTTTCTTCATGTTTTTTTGTTGACCGGTGTCGTCGTGTCACTTCCTAATTAAACATGTTCCTGTCCTGTTTTGACCAGAATCAGCTGTCGGGAAACCTGCTGCGAAAGTTCAAGAACAGCAACGGGTGGCAGAAGCTGTGGGTGGTCTTCACCAACTTCAGTCTGTTTTTCTACAAATCTCACCAGGTGACTAACAAACACAGGTCAATGCTGTTTGCACAGTGAACCCTTCCACTTCTCTCTCTCTCTCCTGCCGTTTCCCCCTCCTCCAGCATCACATCTCGGTGCAGAACATCAGATAGAGGTGCCATGTTAGCTGCGAACACATGTTCCCGTGCACGATTTTTATTCATGCTTCCCGGACACACACAAAAAAAAGTGTTGGGGAACAACATTTGACCTGAGTTTAGTCAGGGTCACTTTGCAGACCAGAAAACTACGGAGAACATGGAATTTAATTCAATTCCCAGGTCTGAAAAAGGTATTGGCGTTTCCAAAGTGTATTCCCTTTTTTATCCACCTTACAGTCTCTAGGTTTTGCAGCCTCTATATAATCTGGCCACTGTAGAAGTATTTGCAATGGGTTTATTGCAAACTTTGTATTTATATTTCCAAAACAAAGCTGCTGTTTGTTTGCTTTTAACCAACCTAAAAAAAGTACATTTTGAAATTCTTTCTATGGAATCTTCCCACAGGATGATTATCCTTTGGCCAGCCTCCCTCTGCTGGGATACTCGGTCACTGTTCCCGCTGAAAATGAAAACATTCACAAGGACTACGTCTTCAAGCTACATTTTAAGTCTCATGTGTACTACTTCAGATCGGAAAGTGAATACACTTTTGAGAGGTAACTCTGTACTCTTTTTTTTTAAAATTCATCTTTAGTGTTTGATTCGTTTCTCTAATAAGTCCTAATTCGCTGGCAGGTGGATGGAGGTCATTCGCAGTGCTACGGTCTCCTCCAGCCAGGCCCGCCTCCTGAACAGCAAAGATCCGCACCCTCACTGATTCAGTCGGAGTTGATTTTTTTTGTTTTTTTTCCCCCCGTATCGCATATGGGTGGCATCTGCCCGTCTCGTCCTGCCCCGTCCCTCAGCGACACTTTGCTTTCCTTCTCTACACATCTGGGACATTTATACATGTGTACATGCACAGTTTGTGCTCTTTATTTTTTAATGCTTTAAATGGTGACACGTCCGCTGGTTTAGACTGCATCAGAGACTGCGTTTTTATTCTCCAACTCTAAAACCTCTTTTTAACGGATGTCATTTTATACAGCTTTTCTAACGGTCTGAATCACTTTCCAGACTCTGGTTTTACATTTTGTCATTTTTGCAGCGGGAACACGTGATGTAGACTCTTTCTTAGGCGGTAAAACTTCTCCCAGCGTTGTCAGTTTTGTTTTGAGCTTGAAAGTTCTGAGCTGCATTGTCAGTGCCAAATTGGTTTGTAGCAACGTCAGGGACTTTTTAAGGAGTAGGATGGGTCCCCCTGTCTGCTCATAAGAAACAGACCACCCTTTAACTGTAAAAGCTCTGCTCCCAGCTGGCCCAGCACAACATTGTTGTTGAAGAAATGGATGAAAGCATACAATTATTTTACTACCAGTGGTAGCTGCCATCATCACAAATGCTGTCTTAAATAAAGTCATTCTTCTACTTGCTGATCTTCATTCTATGGAAACTGAGTATTTTTTTTAAACCCTGGAGTTATTCAGCTGGATGGGACACGGCGATGTCTGTTCATAATTGCTGCATTTTGAGGGAATGTGGAAGTGAAAGCTGTAAGGATTGTGTGTGTGAAAGAGAAACAAAGTAAAAACTTTCAGATCAAAACCATTCGTCATCCTGACTCCTGCGTTCAGGTGTTGTTATGGTCCTGAATGAGGGAAGATATGCAACTAAGTGTTATGGAATGGAAAAAATATGATTCTGCTTGGAAGTTTCTGGGGTTTGTGTGTGTGTGTGTGTGTGTGTGTGTGTGTATGCTTTTGGTTTTTGAGACAAGAAGGTTTTTGGAAATTAAAGCTATACATACTTAACCAAGCTCAGATTTTTATTTTTATTTTTTTACTTTTATTTTGGAAGCAGGCAGAATGGTTTATGTTATCAGAACAGTACAGTGACAATTTTTGACAATATTTTAAATATGACCTGCAGATGGCGAAAATGTTGCTTCACAGCAACCAAAACTACAGGAATGCACTCCGAGTTTTCTTCTTTAAATAGTTGCATTACGTTTAAGGTAATAGCTCCATATTGATAATAACTAATCGTAACATGACATTTACACAATTCAACTGAAAAATGAACATCTGTCCAGAGGAAAATTTATTTAGAATTTGAAAGAAATTGGCTCAATATTGTTAATATCCGCAGATCTGACACCAGTTCATTGTCTCAGGTCATGAGAATGTCAGAAGTAACTTTCCGGTGTGGTTTTATTGCGCTAAACCAGGTGAAAAGACTGTACAAAATCCCAAGTTATGCAGTCAAGACTTGCGTTTGAGTTTATTAAACTCTAGTAATTTTTCAATGTTGTTGTTCCCACAACTGTCCAGGAGAGGGCAGTATTCGTCTAAACGATTTTGATTAGATGCTGAGCCCGGGTTTTTGAGATACTACTATATCAAGGATTTCTTCGTTGGGAAGCATGAAATGACATGGACAGTCATTTCTTTGTCATTGCTTAAAATTGGAAAGAAGAGGAAGCATATCATTCAGGTGCAGCTTGTACAAGTCAAGTGGGTGTGAGAAAATAGCTCAGCTATATAAATAATCAAAAAAGTTTAAAACCAAGACTATAAATAAGGTGGGAAAATCCTCCAAAATCCACAAAATTGCAGTGCATTTGCTCAGAGATTTTTATTTTATTTTAAATAATTCATTTCCAGGATATTTTCGTCCTTCCAGGGAATGCCAATAAACATTGAGGGCATGTTTTGCTACAGTGTGTATAACCATCTTTTATTCAACTGCTTGCTTTATCTTTAGGTGAGGGGAGGAGCACATTTACAACGAAGTCTGAGACAAATGAAGGCAGATAGGACAGAGGGATCCAGAAAAACTTGGCATCCCAGCCAGCTCCATAACGTGTGCGCGGATGCTGAGCAGTGAGAGCATGCTCCATGCACCAGGTAACCTTGGAGATATCCGGAGAGCACAAGATGTTCATAGAGAAGCCCTGCATTCTTATATCTGTAAAAAAAAAAATCAAGAGTTGGTGAATTAAAAGTTATTTACTTATTTGAGAATTTAAACGAGCGGCTTTTCTACTCACAGTTATCTAAATATGTGGCACCGTATGAGTCCTTAACGTCTTGAGGAAGGCGCGCCCACAGCCTTTTCAAGTCAGCATTGATGAGATCTACACTGGTCACACCGGTCTTGAAGAAACCTGGCTCAATGATGCTAACTTTTATACCGAAGTGCTGCATGTCCCTCCTGAGAAGATAAAGACAACATCTTTAGTCCCATGTGGACGATTGTCTCAAATTCATCTCAAACCACAACAAGACCAATGACATGCTCAATGGCATGAGCATATAATTAGTTGACTAAAATACTTATACTCACAATAATTTTTTTTTTCATTCATAAAATACCCAAAATATCAGCCAGAAACATCGAGGGGATGTCACTGCGGGAGATGTCAATGCCAGTATTATCTGTTGATCTAACTACTGTAGATTTCATATCCCTAGAAGCATGAGAAACGGTCATCGCCTCTTAGTTGAAACACATTAAACAAGACTCCTTTTCTACATGTCCAGGTCAGTTTTGACTTTTTCCGCCCTTAGAGACAGTTTGTGACCCACATCAGGCATTTCCTTTTCTTCAAGTATTTTGTTTACAGCAGACATTTGCTCTCTTCTAACCTTAGTGGAGCTGTTTTTAAAAAAATAACTGCATCTTTTAATCTGTGGATAAATCTGGCAATACTATCCAGGTTAGCGAGCCACATCTCTCACCTCTAATTTAAACACCTCAAATGCAGAGAATGTTTTCATTTCTCTACCTGAGGCTGTCAGAAAAAGCTTCCACACCCCATTTGGATAGACAGTATCCTCCACCGATGAGCGACAGCCTCCCCAAAATGCTGGCCACGTTCACCACTCTGCCCTTGGCTTTCTTCAGGAGAGGCAGAAACTGCAGGGTTACATCAATAACCCCGATCAGATTTACATCCAACACCTTTGCAAAGTCCTCCAGCTGCATCCATTCTGTCGGTCCAATGGGAACCGACCTGCCAGCATTATTTACCAGCCCCCAGAGGCCTGCGGGGGAAAACAGAGGACAATCAGCTAATGGCACTAAAAACCCACAAAACAAAGCTCTCCTGCAAAAGACGACCTTAAAATGTTCTTTGATTTCTTGCAGTTTGCCATTTATATCATTCTATCTGAAGTTGTCTGTCCAAAGTTGTGTAGGTATTACAAACTTAATGAGCACCGTACATGTCAAATAACTAGTTTGAAGCAAAAAAAAAAAGCATGTGTGAAAATGTTCAAGTCTTGTCAAAAAATGTCAAATAAAATTTGATCTAGGTTACATGAATATGCTTTGATTGGTTGTTCTGTTGGAAGCAGAACCCTCTTTCCAATCTTAAGTCTGTTTCAGCCTTTAGCTGCTTTTCTTCCAGTATTATGCTGTATTTAGCTTTTTGTGTATTTTACCATCGCCTACTTCCATGCTCATACTGAGGAAAAGCATTCCCACAGCATGATGCTGCTACCACCTTTTTCCACACTTAGAATGGCATTTACTCCGTTTCTGGTGATCAAAGTACGTACACAAAGTTCTCTGTCACTTTCACTACAACTGGTACCCCTGCAGTGGTCCATCCCCGCTCACCTCGCTCCCCCACCTCTCTCCTCACAAACTCCACGACACTCCGGATGCTCGCGCTGTCTGTAACATTCAGCAAGAGGGTCTTCAGTCTGGGGCTTGTCGCTGCTGCCAAATCTGCAGCACCTTTCTCTGTTAGACATCCAGCTATGACCCTGAAGCCTTTCTGGTCCAGCTGTCTGGCCAGGAGGTTCCCAAAGCCACTGTCACAGCCAGTGATGAACACATGCTTCTGACTGAAACCACCAATCCTGTAGGAATCTCTGATGTAGCAGCGGACAGCAGCGTAGCAGGCCAGAAGTAACACACAGGTTAAAACCAAATTTGACAGAAGAACCTGAGACAAAAAAAAAATATATTAAGATGCCAGTTTATTTACATATGTCAGAGAGGGAGCGAAGAGACGAAGATGTGGTGCAAAGATCAAATAAAAATAAACCTACCTCAACAAAACCGCTCACTGCTTCATCAACTTGCACCTAAGAGGATAAGACTTTAAATGACTGTCATTGAATCAATTCAGTTTTATCTTACAGCGTGACAATTTTGTCATGTTGGTCAAAATCATGTCAAAAATACTTACCAAATTATAATTGCATTAATAAATTAATGCAATATTTTTGTAGCTCAAGAATCAACTAAATATGCAATATTTCCATTTAAGGGGCAGTATTGTGCGCTTTCCAGGCATATGGTGCCGTTTTACCTTCAGTCACACACACGCGCGCACACGCACACACATTATAAATACAATTATATAATATTATATCCAACTTTGTTTTGTATGAACTTTTTTTTTTCCTCATTGTTTTCTTACTGTTTCGTGTTTTTTACTGACAATGAGCTGAGAGGTTGTTCATATTGCATCCTGCTGTCCCCAGTTTTAACTTAGTCCAAAACCATAAAAGAGAGGGTGGGAAGCGTGGGACATTGAACACACAACAGGGATTCCACATAGTAATAGCAGCTCACTTATTGGGCTGCAACAAGTTTTAAGGTACATTTCTAAAATTGATAAGTTTAGCTTGTTAAAGCCATGTTAAGTCATTTCACCAATTAATTGTACAACACACTAAAAGGAGTTTATCAAAAATACTGGACAACTGGGTCTATATAAGACATCATAAGCATGTATTTAATCATTAGTAGACTTCTGGTGACAAAAAAGTGGAATTTTATAGATTTTTATTATAACGTCATAGCAAAGCAGTCATATTTTGACATTTAAAAACACAGAATTAGTTTCTATATTCCTTTATACATAGAAAATCCCTATTTGCTTTATTATGACAAAGTCAAAACAAACTGAAGAAGCTAACTGTGCTTTCATTGAATTTTTTTCAACTTCTATGCATGAAAAGTCAAACTGTAAAAAATACAACTATTCAGAATAAACTGATTGGAGGCGTCACAAATTATACTCGATCTACAAACTGTAATACTTGCACCTCTGTGCTTTATCAGCATGTAGAAAACAATCAGCCTGGTCCAAGTGTATAAAGAAACAAAGGGAATAACGTAAAAAATATTCTTGTTTTGTGCACCACCACATCATCATTCTATTGGAAAGCCAAAACCAAGAAACCTCGATGCAACTGCTTTCATCTTCCACCAGAGGGTAGCAAATTTCAGTAAAAAATGTTTTTCTTTAAAAGTAAAAAAAAAAAAAAAAAAATCCTACATTTACCTCTGAACGAGTTTTTGATGATCATCACAGTTGATCATTTCCAACACGAGCACCAACAAATATGAAAATAAGAATAATGTAAACATACCATGGTTACAGCTCTCCAGAAGTAGCCGCTTCTCACCTTCAACTGTACAAATTAACCGAGCAAAACTTAAACTTGCCGGTGAAGTTTGCCGCTTTATCTGTAGAGTCAAGGTCCATAGCAAATATAAGAGAAGGAGTAAATGGTTCACCAGCATGGAATTGTGAAAGAGACCAAACAAGATTACATAACTCTGTTTTGATAACCGCGTTCCCTTTACCTCCAAACACCACTGACTTGGTCGAGAGCAAAGGTTACACAGCACCAGTAACGCGTTACAGTCACTTAGTCTGACTAAGTAACTGTAGTCTGACTACTGGATTTGAACTCGTTATTACTCGTTACTGAAAAAAGTGGCCCGACGTCAGTAACGCGTTACTGACGTCCCGCTGTCTTTGTTAATGTCAATATATTACCCGTGAATGACGTCGAGTTTCGCTTTGCGCTCCAGAAAACTGCAAACATCGAGACTAATACGAACAGCTCAATAATGTGAAAACAGCCACGAATGAACGAGTCCGTAAAGTTGTGCAACTAAACGCCATTATATTTAGTAATATTAAGATAAGTGTCACAAATCTATGCAGCGGGACATCCGAGTTGTGGAGCCGCAGGAGGAGCGCTGTGAGCTGCGCTCTGACACCAACGCAGGGCCGTAACGCAGAACCTGGACGATGGGGCGGGGAGGGAGGAAGGAGGATGGGGATGGGGGTCAAATATCCTATTTATAGTTTTCCAGACAATAGCGGAACACACAAAAACACGCAAAAATACTAAAGGTTTTGTTTGTAACCATTAAACAATCTGGCCTTCATTTTAACCTTATATGTAGAGAGACATTGTTGATGTTACCATTATAAAATAACTTGGAATTACATTATTGGCAAAGATCAATGTAATTTTCACAGATGGCGGAGCGTTGTTGTCAGCAGCTGCTGAAAGTAACTAAAAAAGTTACGTTAATGTAACTTAGTTACTTTCCAAATCAAGTTGTCAGTAATCTAAGTTACTTTTCCAAGGAGTATTCAGTAATACGATTAAAGTTATTTTCTCAATGTAACTATGCAATGGACAGTATTAACTTTTTCAGAAAGAATATAAGGGATCTGTACCAGAAATTCATGTCTAATCTCCATTTGA